GGGAAGGGGGAAGGGGGAAAAAAGGGGGGGAAGAAAACTCAACTCCAAAAGTTGCTATGGATCCACAAGGGTTAAGCTGACTCTAAATATTATAAAAATGCAAAATTTATTCAGGTGTACACATTTTAAAACTTAGACTCATTAAAAATATACCATTCAGACATAAAAAAACTTCTCAACATTCATACATAGATGGGTTAGTGCTGTGCAACTGAACCAAATGCGTTTCGGCCCCTCAAAGGGCCTTCCTCAGTGGTCACAATTCCAATTACAAATTTGACATACATTCAAAAAAATTTTTACATAAGATGTACATATACAGGAGAAGGCCAGATGTTGTTTCCTAAGTACTTCTGTATTGTGTGTTATTATTCTATAAGATGGGCCTCCAGTTTAGCCAAATAAAGTCCACCAATAATTCTGGTATCACAAACTTGTGTGAGTTGAATGTATGTCACTCCATCCTGTACAAATTCTGGTCCAGCAAATGAATTATGTTTACAGCCATGTTCAGAGATTACACCCTGAGAGATCTTACAGAGCAGGAGAATACAACTATGTGTGATCAATATGCAGATCACTATTTTGTGTGAATATGGTCATTCCCCACCCCCCCAGCTTTGGTATGCTTTATAGGAGAACCTGGTTTGTTGTGTGTACACATTCACGCTTTTAAAAGATTGAACACCTGCATTTTAAAAAGCTTTCCTTGTTGACACGAAATAGCAACTGCACATAACACAAAACTGCAGCTGGTGTGGCCCATTGGTGCATGAGGTAGAGGTGCAAAAACAGGAATACCTGAAAAGGGCTAATGTATCATTTGAACTCATGCTTATGAAGGTGCACTCACTGTGATCAATGTTCCCTCTAAGATGAGTTGGTGTGAGCTAGCTCACAGTTTTCTAGCCTCCGGCTCACAGATTTTTGTCTTAGCTCAGGAAGGAGGGCTCCAGAGCAAACTAATTTATGCAGTAACTAAATTGCTCACTCACAACTTTAATGCCAGTAGCTCACAAAGTAGAATTTTCGCTCACGAGACTCCACAGCTTAGAGGGAGCATTGACTGTGGTACACTTAATCCTGGATGGCTTCCAGATGGTTATTGTGTTGAAATAATATGTTTTTATACTACAGTGATATCCAGAAGGCCCGGTCAACACATCAAGATCAAGCTCATTAACATCATCTTCATCAGGGCCGTCACGCCTCATCTCCATCATCATCTTCATGGTCATCATCACCAATTTCTCACATATTCACTGCATAAGGTAGTCCAGCATCAATTTTTCAATGCGCCAGGTGTTTCTAATGATCTAGTGACAACCTTTTTCAGCATCTTGGGATGTGATCACCTTCTTGGGTGGTAAATCATGTATTTACATAAGAACATAAGAGAGGCCAATGTTGGATCAGGCCAAAGGCCCATCCAGTCCAACACTCTGTATCACACAGTGGCCAGAAATACCAGGTGCCATCAGGAGGTCCACCAGTGGGGCCAGGACACTAGAAGCCCTCCCACTGTTGACCCCCCCCCAACACCAAGAAGACAGAGCATCACTTGCCCCAGAGTCCCTATCTATACCTTGTGGCTAATATTTCACTTTGCATTGGAAGGTGTGCGGGTATTTTCAATTGTGCATTAAAAGAACGTTATTGCATTTCCCTAGCGTGGCCTACAAGGAGAGACAGGGCTGGTGACCATTGTTGGCACAGTGGGGCATCTTAAAGACCAAGACTTTTTTTGGGATATGAGCTCTTGAGAGTCAATACTCCCCTCATCAGATGCCAGAAAAGAACACTGGCCTTTGAAAACTTATACTCTGAAAATCTTGTTGGTCTCTAAGGTGCTACTGGATTCAGTTCTAGCCAGGGCTTTTTTTGTAGAAAATGCCAAGGAGGAACTCATTAACATAATAGGCCACACCCAACAGCAGACACTGATTAGCATATTAGGCCACACCCTTGACAGCACAGTCCATTAGCATATTAGGCCACACCCCCGTGTTACCAGAAGTGTGGTCATCCAGCCACACCCACCTTTTGCTTCTTATTCTGTTTACCTTGTTTGTTGTCAAAACCCAGGGCTTTTCTTGTAGCAGGAACTCCTTTGCATGTTAGGCCACACACCCCTAATGTAGCCAATCCTAATGAGTTTCTGCTGTTGGGTGTGGCCTATTATGCTAATGAGTTCCTGCTGGGTGTGGCCAACTCAGGAGCCAGCCAGAACTCCGTTCCTGTGCGTTCCTGCCCAAAAATAGCCCTGGTTCTAGCTGTTCTTCAAGAAATTGTGGAGCAAGAGAGAAAACGGCTGCAAGATGGATTCCATAGTGGTGGTTTAGGAATTTCCCATAACTCTATGGTCTTTACCATACAGATTAGGGGAAATTCCTAGAGCATCACCTAGAAGTGACATTACATCCCTCCCAAACTCCACCCTCCCTAGGCAGCACCTTCAAAATCTCCCAGTATTCTTAGAGGCAGTGCTGGCAACCCTGACAGGAAATCAACATGGGATTGACCTGAGAGGGAAGTGGTCATTATTTGACTTTTAAATGAAGGAAGGATAACTGCTGATGTGGAGCACATGGCAATAAGGGTGTTGTTGCTGGGTCGGAAGAGAGTTGCCGTGTACTGTTGTAATAATTCATCTCCTCAGGAGGTTATGTAATTTCAACACTTAATAGGGTTGCCAGGCCCGACTCAGGAAATATCTGGGGACTTTGGGGGTGGAGCCAGGAGCAAGGATTTGACATCACTTTTATGATGTCACTAGGGTTGCCAGGTGAGGCCGACAAGCAGGAAGAGAATTCTGGCCATCATATTTAAGCATTCCTTTAAAAAGCATTCCTTTTGAATGCTTTCCCTCCATTGAAAATAATAGAGGATGGAGGCACCTTCTTTTGGGGCTCATAGAATTGCACCCCCCTGGTCCAATCTTTTTGAAACTTGGGGGATTTTCCCCCAGGAGAGACACCAACAGTTATGCTGAAAATTTGGTGCCTCTACCTCAACAAAACAGCCCCCCAGAGCCCCAGATACCCACAGATCGATCCTCCATTATACTCTATGGGGACCGGTCTCCATAGAGTACAACGGAGCACCCAGCAGCCATTCCCCCTGCCTTCACTTTCTGGCAGCCCTGAAGTGGGTGGAGGGTCTTCAAACCAGGGGATCCCCTGCCCCCAAATGGGGACTGGCAACCCTACAATACTACAGTATCCAGTGATCTGTTGATGCAGTCTGACTGGCCTTGGGTTCACTGATGTCTTTGTCAAAAGTCTTTTGCAACACCTCCTATCTGATACCCTTTAACTGGAAAGGCCAGGGATTTGCTTCGTGCAAGCCCTGTGCTCCACTGGGTACACTGTAGAACTTCTCAGGTACATTATGTCTAGTTACAGGCAGCTTTTTATTAAGCCGCATTCCTGGGCTCTTTGCGGGGACTCCAGGGAATCCCATGAATCTTCCGCGAAGTCATTAAGAGGTCTTATTGCTTCATCGGACAAAGTTGTCTGCTGGTCTCCATTTATCAGCAGCGGGTGAAGTCATTCCACTTCTCTCTTTCACCGAGCTTTGCATTAAATACCTTTCCACTGGGAATAAGGCAGATCTGCAGAGAAATCTGCAAACGATATAGTGCGTATAAACAAGGAAATAAATAATTAGCCCGTGAGGAAAGAGTAGACTACAGAATACGTCTGTGAACACTGATTTAGTTTGGGAAGGAAAGAAACCGGTGGGTTTCAGCACGCTGAAACGTTATCAGAGGTTTTAGTTGCAGCGGGCAGGGAAGATCAAGTGGATAAGAAGTCCCCAGCTTTCCCATTAAGTATGGTATGGGGAGTTGGTGGTGGAGGCAGAGGGAAGGCCAGTTAGCACCACGCACACATGTGGTTGCTGACTAGCTAGCTGTCTCTGCCGAAGGCAGTAGCCTCGGCCTGTGGGAATGGGGGCGGCAGCTAGGTGGTTCAGGCCGAGAGAGGATGACTGGCCCAAGGTCACCCCGTGAGCTTCCATGGCAGAGTAAGGACTGGAACCCCCACCTCCCAGTACAGCCCCTTAACCACTACATCATGCTGGCCTGGCTCCTGACTCCTTCGTCTACCAAGAGTCATGGAGGGCTAGAGTTGGAAGGGGACATCTCCTCCACTTCCCTGTTCGGTGCAGGAAATCCCAAGCCAGAGCGTTTCCATCAGATGGCCACCCACCTTCTAAATGAATCATAGAATTGGAAGGGACCTCCAGGGGCATCTAGTCCAACCCCCTGCACAAGGCAGGAAGTCCACAAATACCTCCCACACACACACACACACCCAGTGACCTCTGCTCCATGCCCAGAAGGGGAGGGGGGAACAACCTCCAGGATCCCTGGCCAAACGGGCCTGGATAACAATTGCTTCCTGACCCCAAAGTGGTGATCAGCATTTCCCTGGGCGTGTAAGAAAGGGCCACAAGGACTAAGCACTGAGGCAACCCTTCCTGCCCACCCTCTCAGGATCTGCCTAAGTTCACACAATGGCCAATCAAATGGCCTTTAAAGACCTCCAAGAAGGGAGTCTGTCCACCATCATTCAGATTTAGAGGCTTGAGTGAATCATTGTTGTTAACGTGGACCTCTCTCCTCCGTGAATCTAATTTTCTTTTAAAACCACCTAAATGAGAGTCCCCTACCCTGGACGGCCCCGGCTGGACTGATCTCGTCAGATCTCGAAACAAGCTATGCCCTGAAGGCATTTGAGACATGCCACCGTTAGATAGCCATAACGTGGATGCAGCGTCAGCACAGCCCCCTTTTCTAAGCACAGTAAACATCTGGTAGCCGTAAGCTGTGCAAGATATTTGGGGAGAACCAAACGCAACTCAAGGTCTTGCTTCTCTGTCCATGTTAAAAGGAACCATGTGGGATAACCGGCATGCACATTGTCCGTCTTTTGTTCACTCCTCCTTCCTGTGTCTCCAAGGACACCTGTCAATAGTGCCCCTGAAATGGTTCATAGCGGCAGCCTCCTCACGGAGAGTTTTCTCCCTTTATTTATCTCTGCAGCGACGGCTGGGCGGACAGGTACGATGTGACAGACGGCTACCAGCGGGAAGCTGTTGGCGGAATAACGATCAAGCTCCAGTCTCCCGACGTGAAGTGGTTTGATGACTATTACCTGCAGCTTCAGCCGGAAACCAATCTGCGAAACCCCTGGTTTCAGGAATTTTGGCAGCACCGTTTCCAGTGCCGGCTGAGAGGGTCCCCCCAAGAAAACACGAAATTCAACAAGACCTGCAGCAGTAAGCGCTTTTCTCGTCGTGCGATTGCTTAATATTTACAATCAACCAAGTCCAAGCAGTTAATTGCTTCTGGGACTCTGAGAATTAGAGGCATGAAGATCAGGGAGGTGAAGGGATTGTCAATATTTTTGTTGCCTCGGATTCAAAGGGTAGTTTCGAGCATTAACACTCAATTAATGGGTTATACAAACTGGGGGCCTGGAAACAGTTACTGGAGGCGGGAGGGTAACAATTTGGAAATGACACTCCTCCATAAGGTTGCCAGGTCTGGGTTGGAAAATATCTGGAGACTTTGGGGGTGGAGCCAGGAGAGGGCGGGGTTTGGGGAGGGGAGGGGCCTCAGCATAGTACAATGCCATAAAGTCCACCCTCCAAAGCAGCCATTTCCACCAGGGGAGCTGCTCTCCGTCAGCTGGAGATCAGTTGTCAAAGCAGGAGATCTCCAGGCCCCACCTGGAGGCTGGCAACCCTACTCCTCCAGGATTGTATAAACTCTCAGGGGTGTGATTCAGGCTGCTCTTCCCACCCCTTCCCCTTTTAGCAAACTCTCGCCTGCTCTCCATATCTCTGTGCCTCCAGGATAGGGTTGCCAAATCTTTTTTACCTGCCGGCGGGGGGCTCCTGCCCGGCGTCCTGGGTGTGCGCCCGCGCCGCCCGGATGTGACGTCATGACGCCGGGCACGCTGGGGGCGGGGCCACAGCCATTTGAGGGGAAAACATAGAGTTTTCCCCTCAAATGGCTGGATGTCACCGGTGCGATGATGTTACTTCCTGTGCACGCCAGAAATGACAATTGCCATATCACCGGCAACATCGCATGGGCCTTACTTTTTCTCCTGGTAAGTACCCCCACTGGCCAGCTGATCAGCAGCGGGGGGGCTGGTGGTAGGGGACCCCCGTCTCCACTGGGGGCGAGGCTGACAACCCTAGTTGCTTGGGTGGAGAACTGGTCCTATGTGCCATGCCAAATGGGCTGCCCTCTGGTGTGCATATGGTCGCCAACTTCCAGGTGGGCCTGACAATCTCCTGGAATTACAGCTGGTTTCCAAACTACGAAGACTCATTCCCCTGGAGGAAACGGCTGCTTTGGAGGGTGGACTTTACAGAATCATACCCTTGCCGAGCTCCCTCCCTATATTCCACCCTCCTCAGGAACCACCTACAAATCTCCAGGGATGTCCCAACTCAGACCTGGCAACCCTACCGTACCGGGGGTTGCCTCTCCCTGCCCTAACTTTGCATGCCACCATATTGCTCCCTTCTTCCTTCTCCCAGGGTTGGCATTACAATTTAAACAACCAGCCTGTTCCTCAATGGGAAACTGTAACGTGTTTCATTGAAACAACTGATGCAACTTTAACTAAGTGCCATGATTTTTCTGTCCAGCTAAAGCACTAGAGAAAGTGAGATGTTTCCATAGTTATTAACAGGGCTCTTTTTCTAGGAAAAGCCCAGCAGGAACTCATTAGCATAATGGGCCACACCCAATAGCAGAAACTCATTAGCCTATTAGGCCACATCCCTGACAGCACAGCTCATTAGCACATTAGGCCGCACCCCCATGTTACCAGAAGTGTGGTTATCCAGCCACACCCACCATTTGCTTGTTATTTTGTTCACCTTGTTTGTCGTCAAAACCCAGGGCTTTTTTGTAGCAGGAACTCTTTTGCATGTTAGGCCACACACCCCTAATGTAGCCAATCCTAATGGGTTTCTGCTGTTGGGTGTGGCCTATTATGCTAATTAGTTCCAGCTGGGCGTGGGCAATTTGGGAGCCAGACCAGGACCCAAGGAGGCCAGACTGGCGGCTACCAGGGCCAGAGCTTTCTCGGTGGTGGCTCCTGCCTGGTGGAATGAGCTCCCGGAGGAGATCCGGGCCCTGCGGGACCTTGTGCAGTTCCGCAGGGCCTGCAAGACGGAGCTCTTCTGACAGGCTTTGAAGTAGAAGCCGCCACCATTACCGCACCATCGTTATGTTCCATCAGTATTGTCTGGCGCTGGGAAGGGAGAACGGCAGTGTTGCGTCAAACTGAGAGCATTGAGTAGATGTACCATCTTGTAACGTCACCTTTGTGGAAGATCAGACTGGAACAGCTAGAGCACTTATCTTGATGTATATGTACTAAGGGTTTTATATGGTTTTAATTTGTTTTATGTGTAGGCGTATGCCTAATTGTGAGCTGCCCTGAGCCCGCGCAGTGGGGAGGGCGGGCTATAAATTGAATTTATAAATAAATAAATATCTGAGGTTTTTTG